TTGAGATTAAAATTAAAATTTTAGTAAATTTTGATAAAAATTGATAAAATATATAGTTGAAAAAGTATGGATTTCATAAAATATATGATTAAAATTAATTCAACTTTTAATTTAAATTAAAATTTTAAATTTTAATTAGTACAAAACAAGGACTAGATCATATTGTAACTTTATGTAATTGAGTTATTGAGATAATTGTTATAATGATTTATGCCTTTGATCACAAAAACCTTTCTATTATTGATTTAATGAAAAATATTTAACTTTAAAATGACCTCTATTCAATTCACCGTAAGGTTAAATTCATCAATGGTCATCCAACTTTGTATTCAGTGTTGATAAATGCGAGTTTATTGCGCTTGTTCGGATTATTAAACTTAGATATTTGCGAGTTTTATTAGTGATTTATTACTTAATTTTCTTATTTTTATTTTGTAGGCGAAAACTCGAGATTAAAAGATGAATTGAAGGAATTTATGTGAATAACGAGCTAAAGATAAAGGCAAACGAAGAAGACGACGCCGCCGAAAGAAGATTTATTAAAAAAAAAAATTAGCGAGCTGGGCGCCAACCCGAGCAAAAACAGAAACTGTGGCGCCCAGGCACCACTGTTCCGACGCCAAGGCGCCACTCGGACCATTTTTAATTGTTTTCAAAGTTTCAGGGACCAATGCTGTAATTTCCTTTAGGTTTTAGGTTAAAACATTCAACCAAACACAAGATTTTTCATTCTAAAAACTTGGAGGCAGCTGGTTCTTTTTCTTCTTCTTCTTGTTTTCTTTCTTTTTTTCCTTTTTCCTTTCACCTTTATTTTCAAAGATATTTTGGGGAAGATTGGAATATGGAGATGGTGCATTAGCTTGGAGAAGATGACCCATTGATATTGAAGGATTTTCAACAATTTCTCTCTTTATCAATAAGTTTTTCTTTTCACTTTTTCCATCAACGTTTTGTAAGAAATTATTAGTTATTTGTGAATATTTTATGGGTAACTAATTATATTTTGTAATTGAGGATTATTTCAAACCCGAGTTATGATTTTCAATTAATTTGTGCCTTATAATTCTCTTGATTAATGTGTTTAATTCATTGTATTAAATGTTTATTTTGTTCTTCTTGATTGTTTAGGTGTACAACTAAATGGTTAAATTATTTCGATAATGCTATTTTGGAATTAGCAGTAAGTAATAGCTATTGATTCTAAAATCTAGTAGTAATTACATTTCGATAGATTATGAAGAATTTTCAATTGAATGTATGTGGATAAACACTTAAGTTTGTTAACGATGTTGCTAGTTTACCCTTAATTCAATTCATCTCTTTTGTCGTAATGCGTTTGTTAAATTAAATTTAGAGAACTTGTTCTAGGTTGTTTAATAAATAGGGTTGAGTAAAGAGCTTGTTTTATTCGACTAACATGTAAGAAGAGATTGAGGTAATTGAGCTTGTAATTATTCTCGAATTGTTGTTAATCTTGAGAACGAAAATCTATTGTTGTAATTGACATAAAAATCATTCTCGTGGTGACTAAATATCCTCAATCACATTTTCTCGCATTCAATCAAGAATCACTTTGTTTATTTCAGATTTCAAGTCTTTTTTAGTTTAAATTTATCGCTTTCCTTAGTTCAACAAACCAAACCCCCCATTCAATTTATTTGTCTATTATTATTAATTTTACTTTTTACTACGCAATTGATATAATTGAATCAATCCTCTGCGGGAAATGACCCTTACTTGCCATATTACTATTTAAAACGACACATTTAAGTTAAGTAAGAAAAATTAATTGGAACGTGATATGCAACGTATCAATTTTGGCGCCGTGTCGTCGGGGATTGTTCTATCAATTTGTTAAGTGCAATATTTTTCTTTTTGTTGTTTTTCTATTTATTTTTGTTTTTTTCTTTGTCATTTAGGTTGTGAATGAGTAAAAAGCCTATAACACACTGCAACCTAAGATCAGGAAAAGAGGTTGACATATCGGAAAGTGGAGAAGACATTTCTCCAACTAGACATCTAAGGAGATTGAGCATTGAATCCTCAAGTGACTCCGAACACATAGAGCCCGAAATGGCGGATGCAAATCAGACCTTAAAGGAACTTGCAGCTCCAACTTTTGTTCAACAACCTCTATGCATTCAATATCCTCAAGTGGAGGTGAGATTTGAACTAAAGTCCGGGATGATTCATCTACTTCCCATATTTCATGGATTTACCGGAGAAGATCCAAATAAGCATTTGAAGGAGTTTCATGTGGTTTGCTCAAGCATGAAACTTGCAGGTATATCAGAAGAGCAAGTGAAATTGCGAGCATCCCTTTTTCTCTTGCAGACACTGCTAAGGAATGACTCTATCATTTGTCGGCCGATCTTATTACCACATGGAATGAAATGCAAAAGCTCTTCTTGGAGAGGTATTTCCCAACTTCAAAGGCTACAAACATTAGAAAAGAAATCTGTAGCATTCGGCAATCTCAAGGGGAAAATCTCTATAAATATTGGGAGAGATTCAAAAGGCTATGTGCTAGTTGTCCAAACCACCAAATCAGTGAGCAATTACTTCTACAATACTTCTATGAAGGATTGCTCCCAATGGAGAGAAGTATGATTGATGCGACTAGTGGAGAAGCTTTAATGGATAAAACATCGACAGTTGCTAGGGATTTGATAGCCAACATGGCCGCAAACTCACAACAATTTGGTAGTAGAGAAGCGGCACCGGTTAATCAAGCAAGTGAGGTAGGAGCAACCTCTCAAATTGAACAACAATTAGCCGGTCTTACATCGCTTGTGCAACAAATGGCACTTGGGACAATGCAACAAGCAAAAGTGTGCGGGATTTGTTCTATTGTGGGACATTCTACCTATGCATGCCTGACACTACAAGAAAGAGCCTCAGAGCAAGCAAATGGCATTGGGGGATTTCCAATGCAACAGGTACATTGATGAGTGATTTACACTCATTATATTATGCCATTAATTTCATGATTATGCTATCTTGGAGAGTATTTTAGAGGTGCTAACATGTGGTTTTCACGCTACTTTGAAGGATGGATGAAGTGGAGAAAACAAGTGCTAAAAGAGGCCAAATGGAAGAAATAGGCAAAAGTTGGCGAAATTGGATGAAAGGACCAAAATGTAAGAGATCCAAAGTTTGAGGACTAAAGTGCACATAATCAAAAGTTGTATCGGAACTTGCAATGAAGATCTGAGAGTGGTAGGAGTCAATTGGATGAAGGAAGGTGTCAAAAGGGATCAAATTTAATCAAGATATGATCATAAATCATTTTCCAACCGAAAAGTTTTGCATCGGATTTTTAGTCCCACATTCAGACCCATTTTCAACATAGCAAATGATCGAATTAGAGAATGATGCTTGAATCAAAGTTGTAGCCCTTTGAATTACCTTTCCAACGCATCTTGAGTCACTTCAATTAGATATTGAACAAGAAAGTTATGCTAAAAACACTGAAACACGCGCAGAATGCCATTTCGGGCGAACCGGGCGCCCAGGCGCTATACCCTCAGCGCCCAGGCGCCACAATTCTGTAATTCCAACAAAAACTCAACACCCAGGCGCTGCATTCCGAGAAAGGAAAAATGCAATTTTTCCAAATATTTTCGACCCGACCCAATTCCAACTCGTAATGCAAATTAAGGGGATTATAAATACATATTGAGAGACCTAAGAAAGTAGGGTTTTGACGGCTGAAGAAAGGAGGCAAGGATATACACTAATTGAGAGAAGAATCATTGGATCTTGGAGAAGGAATCAAGCTGCAACCTGAGTTTTTTCTTATCTTTCTCTTCTCCATGAGATTTAATTTATATTTTATCATGTTATTCTCCTCAATCATGAACTAAGTTATTAAATCTAGGGTTTGGTGTAACCTATTTGAGACATGATTCAATTTCTTTATAGTATTTCCATTTAATTTTTCAGAATTGATTTGTATTGTTCTTGCTTAATGCTTTCGGTTGCTTGATCACCAATTGAATGAATTGATGCTCTAAGTTTAACGCTCGAGAGAGGGAAATTTAGACATGATCTAAGAACAATATAACCTAGATTTGTAGATATCGAGAGAAAGTGCAATTCTTTGAGGGTAAAACAAGAACCAAGTGCGTGAAAATCTTTATAAATTTAGCTCGGAATAGAGATATTGGGGTTGAATTATAGAGATAGGTTCTATTTGACGCTCGAGAGGGGGAAATAGAATTAATTTAGGATTCTTGCCTATGAATTCGAGAAATAATTAATGGAAGTATCTATAGGGGTTGAGAATCATGTTGATAATATGGTGAAATCATTCCCTAGACTTTTCGAAATTCTGAATTAATTTTTAAAAATTGCCTCACTTTTCTTGCATTATTAAATTCATCGACATTAGTTTAGCATTCAAACATCAAATTAACATCCGATTGTCTAGATAAAGTAAACGCAGACATAATTATAGTACTCAGTGGAAGTCGAATATCAATCCCTGTGGGTTCGACACTTTTCAATTCTTTAATATACTACAAAACTTGACACCGAGCGCTTGCGGTATAAAATCACGTTACATAAAACGCGTGGCAGACATAGATATGATCCATATGCTAACACTTTTAATCCTGGATTGAGAGATCATCTTAATCTCAGTTACGGAGGAAATCATTTCATAGCTCCACAATCACAGTTTAATCATTCCCCGGGGTTCAATCAACGAAGGCAACCACAACACTCTCAACCTCGTCAACAAATTTCATCTCAAAGTTCAGAGATGTCTCTTGAAGATATGGTGAAGTCCTTAGCTTCTAGTACAATACACTTTCAACAAGAGACAAAAACCTCAATTAAGAATTTAGAGACATAAGTGAGTCAATTGGCCAACACGGTAGGTAAATTGGAGGCTCAAGGATCAGGAAAACTCCCTTCTCAAGCAATCAACCCGAGAGAAAATGCCAGTGCTGTGACACTAAGAAGCGGAAAAATTTTTGGAAGAGGCACCAAGGAAAATGAAAGATCAAGTTGGGGAGTCAACTCAAGAGAAGAACTTAGCATGTGAGAAAGATGAAGCTAAGACTCCAACCTTGGGATCTAAGGTAGATTCTAAAAGTCCTATTCCTACTTATGTTCCCTCCCCTCCATTTCCTGGCAGGTTTGTAAAGTCCAAAAGGGACAAACATGAGAAGGAGATTTTGGAGACTTTTCGCAAGGTTCAAGTGAACATACCACTTTTGGATGTCATTTATCAAGTGCCACGTTATGCAAAGTTCCTCAAGGAATTGTGCACTAACAAGCAAAGATTAAAAGGTGATAAAGTGGTAAGCGTAGGAGAAAATGTCTCGGTGGTCTTGCAAAAGAAACTTCCACCAAAATGTAAGAATCCAGGAAGTTTTACCATCCCTTGCATTATTGGTAATACTAGGTTTGAAAAAGCAATGCTAGATTTAGGAGCATCTATTAATGTCATGCCATATTCTATTTATGCTTCTTTAAATTTGGGATCACATAAGGAAATCGATGTTATTATTCAACTTGCTGATAGATCTAATGCATTTCCAAAAGGTGTGTTAGAGAATGTTTTGGTGCAGGTAAATCAATTGATTTTTCCAGTAGATTTCTATGTTCTTGACATGCAAGATGAATCAACATCTTTGACGCCACCATTGCTCTTAGGAAGACCATTTATGAGGACTGCGCGTACAAAGATAGATGTCCATGACGGTACTTTGACAATGAAGTTTGATGGTGAGATTATTCACTTCAATATCTTTGAAACAATAAGGTATCCTAGTGATGTTCATGTTTGTTTTTCAATAGATATAATGGATTCATTTGTGCAAAAAAATTTCAATTTATCAAATGAAGATGCATTGGACACCACTTTGATTAAAAGCATTGATGTTGATAATCTTACTGGGTTGAGCAAGAATCTACAACTGTGTGAGGATATTGTTAAAACCATGGCATCACTTGAGCCACTACCGAGTATTCCACCAAGGTATAATAACTCCTATATTACTCTTCCGATATCTAAAGAGAAACTTTTACATTCGGTGATGCAGGCCCCCACCTTGGAACTCAAACCTTTTCCCGAACATTTGAAGTATGTTTGGGAGAGGGGAAAACAATACCGGTGATCATAATAAAGAACCTCACAACACTTATTTTTATTTTTGTGAATTTTTGTCACCAGTAGTCCCCAACCATCATCACAGCCATTACTATCAACACCATTAGGGGAGTATTTGAACCTCTTGCGCTTTCTATTTCTTTTTGTTTTTACATTGAGGACAATGTGCAATTTAAGTTTGGGGGTGAGGTGGTATGTGCTAAATTTTTTGTGGAATTTTGTGGTTTATACTAATTTTGTTCTCACTAAAAACTTAAAAATTCATATTAAACACTTGTTTTTATGCTTGTTTGTATTGTTTGATAGTTTTGCTAATTGCATTGCATTGATTTATGAACTGGGAACATGAATGCTAAGTGTTGTTTATTTTCTTCCACTTATTCCATGATTGACTCTTTATTGAGCACTTGGGTCATGAGATTCATCATATGCACTTGTTGGTTGCACTTGTAGGTTGTTAAAGAATTTAAATGACCATGTTGTTAGAGATTCTTCAATTACTCAACCAATGAAAGGATAAGTTTGGGGGTGGTTGAACCGGTGAAAGAAATTATTTAGAATTGTATTAATTCCCGACTCAATGATTGATTTTGTGGAATGTTCTTAGATTTCAAATGAAAGATAGATGTTGTTTTCCATCTATCGATATTTCTAAAAAAAAAAAAAAAAAAATTCTATAGGAAAAAATTGCCTACCCTAAGGAATGTGAGTTAGCATTGAGTAATCTGGCCCTATGCATCGCCAATGTGTAGGAGACGATCTACGAATGAAGAAGGGAAGGCTACCCTTAGGGACCAGAGCAAGAATTACCTACGTTGGAAAAATGAAAAAAAAATAAAGGGATGCTATAAGCATCTAGGGGTGATTTTGTTGAAAAATTGATGGATTGTGAGTAATTTGTCTAACATAAGTTGTGGTCTAAGCACTCAAATTTTTTTTTAAATTAATACATGACTAGATGATCTATTTTTTCGGTTCAAACCAACCAAACTTGTTGGTTGCACTTGTAGGTTGTTAAAGAATTTAAATGACCATGTTGTTAGAGATTCTTCAATTACTCAACCAATGAAAGGATAAGTTTGGGGGTGGTTGAACCGGTGAAAGAAATTATTTAGAATTGTATTAATTCCCGACTCAATGATTGATTTTGTGGAATGTTCTTAGATTTCAAATGAAAGATAGATGTTGTTTTCCATCTATCGATATTTCTAAAAAAAAAAAAAAAAAATTCTATAGGAAAAAATTGCCTACCCTAAGGAATGTGAGTTAGCATTGAGTAATCTGGCCCTATGCATCGCCAATGTGTAGGAGACGATCTACGAATGAAGAAGGGAAGGCTACCCTTAGGGACCAGAGCAAGAATTACCTACGTTGGAAAAATGAAAAAAAAATAAAGGGATGCTATAAGCATCTAGGGGTGATTTTGTTGAAAAATTGATGGATTGTGAGTAATTTGTCTAACATAAGTTGTGGTCTAATCACTCAAATTTTTTGGTAAATTAATACATGACTAGATGATCTATTTTTTCGGTTCAAACCAACCAAACTTGTTGGTTGCACTTGTAGGTTGTTAAAGAATTTAAATGACCATGTTGTTAGAGATTCTTCAATTACTCAACCAATGAAAGGATAAGTTTGGGGGTGGTTGAACCGGTGAAAGAAATTATTTAGAATTGTATTAATTCCCGACTCAATGATTGATTTTGTGGAATGTTCTTAGATTTCAAATGAAAGATAGATGTTGTTTTCCATCTATCGATATTTCTAAAAAAAAAAAAAAAAAAATTCTATAGGAAAAAATTGCCTACCCTAAGGAATGTGAGTTAGCATTGAGTAATCTGGCCCTATGCATCGCCAATGTGTAGGAGACGATCTACGAATGAAGAAGGGAAGGCTACCCTTAGGGACCAGAGCAAGAATTACCTACGTTGGAAAAATGAAAAAAAAATAAAGGGATGCTATAAGCATCTAGGGGTGATTTTGTTGAAAAATTGATGGATTGTGAGTAATTTGTCTAACATAAGTTGTGGTCTAAGCACTCAAATTTTTTGGTAAATTAATACATGACTAGATGATCTATTTTTTCGGTTCAAACCAACCAAATTTGAGAGGGAAATATTGAGTGATTTGAGGACAACCTTAAGTTTTTGATACCTTGGGTTATAATGAAAATATTAAGTTTGGGGGTGTGTGCATCCCACGAGTGAGAAAGGAAAGTTTGACCTTTGAGGGTTGGGAAAATCACCAACTTGTGCATTGCGATGAATTGGAATGACCACACGCACACGAGTCAAGCATGGTGTAAGTTTAAAAGTGTTTGGTGTAGCATTTTTGTAAACATTTCATAAGTTATTTGCATAATGTAAGAATTGTAGCAAAGTGACAAAATATCAAACAATTGGAGTGTTTGTTATTATTATAGTATTATTGGTTGGTTTTAATTTGTGTGTTTTTATGCTTGTTTGTATTGTTTTGTTCGAGGACTAACAAAGATTTGAGTTTGGGGGTGTGATAAATGCGAGTTTGTTGCGCTTATTCGGACCATTAAACTTAGATATTTGCAAGTTTTATTAGCGATTTATTACTTAATTTTCTTATTTTTATTTTGTAGGTGAAAACTCGAGATTAAACGATGAATTGAAGAAATTTATGCGAGAAACGAGCTAAAGATGAAGGTAAACGAAGAAGACGACCAAACCAAACCCCCCCTCCCCATTTAATCTATTTTGTCTATTATTATTAATTTTACTTTTTAGTGCGCAATTGACATAATTGAATCAATCATCTGCGGGAAATGACCATTACTTGCCATATTACTGTTTAAAACGACACATTTAAATTAAGTAAAGAAATTAATTGGAAAGTGATATGCAACGTATCAAGTGTCATCATAACTACCCAATTTGATATTGTTTTATTATAGTCACTCAATTTTATATTCAGTATCACCATAATCATCAAATCTGATTTTATTTAACTATGATCATCCAATTTCATCAAACATCTCACCACAATCACCCAATTTTATATAACGTTTCACTATAACCACTATTTACACCATTTTCACTCATTGAAAATGTGTAAAATGGTAACTTTACATTATATATAAAATAAATTTTTTTAAAAAAAATATTTTAAAAAATAATAAAACTTAAAATTAACTTAAAAAAAGTTACTTAAAAAATAAAATAAAAAATATTTATTTTTTAAAAATAAATATTTTCTGCCTATTTGATTTTGATCAAAATCTGATTTTAATTTAAATCAAAGTTAAACAATAAATATTAACCACATTTTTCATGGATCCCACAACTTTTCAATCACACTTTTAAAAAAATTAATTTTAATCTCGACCAAATATCTTCTTAATTTTTTTAAAGTAATGTTTTTATAAAAAAAAAAAAATTATTTTATTATTTTTTAAATTCATTTTTATATAATACAAAGTTACCGATTTACCCTTTTAAAATGAGTGAAAAGAGTAAAACGAAGTTCGGTGACCATTGTTAAACGTTATATGAAATTGAGTGATTATAATGAAACATTTTATGAAATTGGGTGATTATGATTAAATATTTTATCAAATTTGATGATTATGGTGAAATAAAATCAAATTGAATAATCATAGTAACACTAAGTTTAGAATTAGACGATCATAATAAAATAAAATCAAATCGAATAATCCTGATCACACTAAAACCTGGTAATTGTTTGAGTCCCATTCTTAAAAATAAATAAACAAATTTGAATAGTATATTGATGGGAAATGTATGATTAAAAAATAAATAAAAATTTTAAATTTATGTGTAATATTATTTTATTGAAAATGATGTAATTAAAATTGATCAAACAATAAAGTCAAGAGTACAAAAAATTCTAACAGAATTTGTATCGACACTGACGTGGCAAAACATGATTGGACTTTTTTATTCTTTTTTATCTTTCAATAATATCGCATTATGTGTTGTCTGTAAAATTTTTCTGTCAAAATTTTTTGTAATTATAGCTTTATTCTCGATCAAATCACTGTTAAAAAAACATTTTAATGAAAAAAATGTCCGGTTAAGTACAAAATTGGGTGCCTAGGTGAATTTAAGTCAGTCACCGTATCACCACCCCCGTCTCTCGTTTCATCTGTTTTCCCCATTTTCAAAAGTTTAAACTTTTTAATTTCCATTTCTCTCATACGAACCCTAAATATCTCTTGATCTCTTCTGATACTGTTGGATCTGCTACGGTTTGTGCACCGATCTCGTGATCTTTGGTACTACAGTATTGCCTATTGAATCCGAGCCGTTGATCTGGGAGTAGAGAGAGGATTTAATAGAATTAAATTGATGGATGCGATCGAGGAATTGTCACAGCTCGCCAATTCCATGCGGCAAGCAGCAGCTTTGCTTGCCGACGAAGATGTTGATGAAACATCGTCGTCTAGGCGTCCCTCCACTTTTCTCAATGTTGTTGCTCTCGGCAACACTGTACGTCATTTTTTTATTTAACCTGTTTGGGTATTTTGATAGATTTTTTTTTCTTATTATCATTTAGATCTATGGAGCTAGCTGAGTTTTTGGATCTAATAATTCCGGTCTATTTGGAATTAGAATTAAAACTGCCTTTTCTTTTGTGTGATATGTGTGTAAAGTTGTTTCTTTAAGTTCATTTTGTAATTTGGTTATGTGGTGTGATGTATTGTAAGTTGACAGTGGTTTGAATTTTTTTCAGTCTCAATTGGTCAATAGTGATGAAATAAATCATAAACTTTTGTCGTTATATTGAATTGAGTAGAATGAGAATTTTTTTTTCTATGATAAATGTATTTACAGCATAACGCACACGAATAGTGTGCACATTGTGCTTCTCCAAGATTGTACACTGTACAGTACTCGTCTGTGGTATTTCCCTTGAAAAATAATCAAGTGTATCTCAACATTGTTGCTTAAGTGTTTTATTTTGATGCTAACAGTTATCAGTGAACTCCAGCTAAACAAAAAACGAGAGTCGGCTTAA